AAGCTGAGCCAGCGGCACCTACGAGGGTGCAGAGAGGTTGGGGTGCAGCGTTGCCAAGCTGTGTCTGTCCTCGGGGCTCCCCTAGCGCCTTCCCCTCTTTGCAGAAGAAACAAACTTCCCAAAGCTGACGCTTGCCAGGCAACAGCTGAACTTTTCTTGTCGTTCCTTTATAAAGGAGGCTTTAAGACAGGTCAGGAGGCACCATCATTACTGACTTTCCCTTCAGTGCACATTCTCACTGACCAACGCCAATCTGCAGGCTCTTGCTAGGGGTTGCCTGAATGGAGACAGTCAGAAAACAGCAAATGCGTTACACCTCTCAGGGGCTGTTCTGACCTTCACCCTCCCTTCTCAAAGGGCCTGTGGAAGTAACGTTGCTTTCACGTTTGGTTTTGCAGCTCCACAGATCTGAGTTCACCTGCACTAGCTCAGTCTTTGCAGACTTCGTAGGGGTTTTTTTTCTACCTACATAACGACGACCCTCTTGCTGAGCTGCCTTCTGCTGTGGGTTTTCCTTGCAGTTCTGTGTCCACAACCACAAGTGGCCAATGGAAGGCTGAAAAGCGCTTTGGATGGTAAAATGTGGTACCAAATAAATGCAACGGTTACTTTTGAGTGCCTTCACGGATACCAGTTTTCAGACGATGGAGACGTGTCTTTAGAAGACTCTTGGACAGCCACGTGCTTGCCTGATGGCAAGTGGACACCGTTGCCCAAGTGTGTAAGTACCATAGTCTGGCTGAGTTCCTGGATGGATTCTGCCTGACTTCTAATAACTGCTTGAACTTCTTAAAGGCTTTTGCTTTATGGTGCCAACGAGGGATGCAGTCTGTGTTGGGGTGGTGCATGGCCAACAGGACAGTTCAGACTCCGAGCTGAGGAGTGGGTGGCTCTCCATCTGCTGCAGTGCAATCTTACATGCCTTTTTTCCTGGGTTTTGTTTCTTTTGTTTTACTTTTTAACAGAAGAAAGAAGGTGGCGCTGAAGTTTGCGAAGAGGTTCTTGATATTAAATCAGTCTTTGAATGCGGTGTGCCTATAGCAGAAGTGAAAACTCTGCTGGAAATACAAAAACTGTTTCTGGAGATTAAAAAACTGAAGGTGGAACTAGAAAACTTGAACGAGGAAGTCCTGTAACACATCGTAACGGTCACCTTTCCTTTGGTGAACATGCAGTTTGTGTAGTCACAGTATCTATGAGAAGGCTCTCGGTGACTTTATGGTTTGTGCTTGCATGCCTATAGCCAGAGGAATAATAACCAATGTATGGGAGATGGCTCTTGTCATGCTAGATGCTAAAGCATAAAGATATTTTTGCTCTTTTCCTTAAATCTGACAAGCTTGATTCACTATTTAACAAAAGTGTTGTTTCCCATTTTGTATTAGGAAGCATAGTAAGAAATTAAATTGAGCTTCTTTGCGTCACTGCATAAACTGTGCTAAGCTGAGAGAAGGGAGACTGAAGTCCACAGAAGTAAACTTCTAGCTGAGACGAGTGGCTGGTGGTTCTTTCTGAAGGCGTTTCTGCTGTAATCTCCCGTGCCAAACTCCTAACTCAGCCTGTCACAGCATTAGCACACATCTTCTGTCTAGAAAGAGCAGTGAAGTGGGTGTTTAACTACGTGATTTCCCGTTCATCTAGCTCGTGGTTTCTATTAGTCTAGTTAAGGGCGGTTACATGCAAGAAGTGCATTTGTAAAGGCTTCTATTCGCTTATCCCTGGATTTAAACAACCCAACAGGTTGCTGGCCCAGCACTGTGCTCAGCGGGTATCCGTGTCGGTATCATCTTCCATGTCCCTATTTCCAGCAAGCCAATGTTAAGAATACATGGTGTAAGTTTAAATGTAGAGAATCAGACAGCAAAGACTGTGCTTATTACTCAATAAACAACCATCGGTTTATGTCGCTCGGTGATGCAGCAATAATTCCTTCCCTGCAGGATTACAATAAAGATGGAGGTGTAACCACGGGTGTCTTGTAATCTGTCGTTGGCTGTAAATCAGGCAGTTTTCCAGTGTGGTCTGATGGTTGCTCTGACTGAGAGCCCGGGGCGGTCCTCGGGGCGTGCGGGGAGCTGCAGCGGGCACGGCACGGCGGCTGAGGGCACCGCGCAGCACGGCAGGACGCTGCTGCCCGGGCTCGGTGGGAGAAGGGGGAGCATTCATCTCCTGCTCAAGCCATTTGCAGCGGTGTATCATTGCCAGGGGCACGCTTTTACGCGTTATTACAGTTGCTTTAGATGTTGCTAGAGCCTAAAGCCCAACACCCGGGGACGAGATGCGATCTCCCATCTTTACACACAAGGATGCTTTGATAATGCACCCTGTGCGTCACCACGCCCCGGTGAGGAGATCTGCGACGAGAGGTGCTCTCAGACCCACTCCAGTTCTCCCTGTGCCCTGGGGAGAGCAGGGCTGCGCCCTCCTGGTGTGACGCCTCGTCTTATCTCCCTGTGCGAGGCTCGAAACCCACAAGCACGAATAAGAACTGGGTGTTACGTCCCACGGGTATCTGAGAGTGTGTTTGAGTAGCCTTGACTGATGTCAGACGGGATGTTTCAGTGTGTTAGTCAGTACGCAGATGTACTGGCTCACACCCGTTCCTAATTACAAATGAGTCAGGCAATCAAGAAAAATATTAACACAGAAAAAGCGAAATGGTTTTTTTTTTGTTTTTGTTTCTCTAACTCTGCTTATGGAAGATCTGTGTTGCATTACCTGCCAGCAATAACTAAGCAGGCATTTTCCTACCCTGAATACAGCTCGGGGCTGGGTGGCAGTCTTTTCTGCTTTGGTTTTGGTAAAACTGTGCTAGTCAGCGCTCACCGCCAGTCTCGGGGCGAACAAAATTGTTGAGTTACTCCCCCATCCCTTATGGTGGGGCAGGAGGACCAGGAGGCTTTACCCGAGCCTGCGGATGGCAGTTGTACTCCCTCCTGCCTGCTCTCCGTGTCCCTGCCAGATCGTTTAGCTCCATGGGTGTTCCGGAAAGGTTTCCATGCCCCAGGGGCTTGGCTGAGTCTGCTGTGCTGCATCTCCTCCCAGCTTCAGAAATAGCCCCTTGGAGCCAACAGCGCTCGACAGAGGAGCACAAAACCTGCTGCAATGAAGTCTGGAGAACCAGGACGGGGGAAGCACCCAGGCACCCCGAGCTGGGAGGCACCTGCCGGGACGCAGGGGTCTGTCCACCTCGCGCTGCTCCTGGCCTTGCTGGGGCTCCTAGGCACGCCTGTGGCTCACGGTGAGTACGGAGGCATGGGATGCATGGGGGGGACCTGCCCAGGCCTCACCTTGCTGCTCAGGTGCTGGGGTGGGTGATGCCACCACCCCCAAGCCTGGGGACCCGTTGTTTGATGCTCTCACAGCCCTGCCCGGTGCCTTTGCCCAGAGGGGAAGCCTGGGCCAGCCCAGCTGCCCTGGGATGCTCTCGCTGGGGCCGGGAAAGGGGCCAGAGAACGTGGTCCTCACCTGAGGAGGTCTTCTCCTGCCGCAGGTGACTGTGGGCCCCCACCTCGCATGACCCACTCCAGACCGTCCAGCGACGAGCACATCAGCAGCTTCCCCGTGGGATCCAGGGTGACGTACACGTGCACCGAAGGCGCCAGCAAAATCCCCGGGAGGTCGGACACGGTGCAGTGCCTGCCCGGCTCGCGCTGGTCGAAGCTCCTCGAGCCCTGCGGCCGTAAATATCTCCTTTCTCTGAATCACACCTCCCTCCCCTCTCCCTTGCTTGGCTTAAAATTTCCGCCCCTTACGGTGGCTCCTCTGCGACGGCACTGCCCTCCTGGCGAGGTGCAAACCCGCTTCCCTCAGCTGCTGCTCCCCCGAGCTGCTGACGGCTGCGGGATCCATGCCTGCCGTCAAGGGGGTCAGTCGGACGGCGGCTGGAGGAGCCCGG